GATGATGCTCGAATTGGTGTAACCTTGATATGTTAACAATTCACCTCTATGTTGGAAACTCTTGGCTTTGTAGTATGGATTTTTCCATTTATAACAGTAATAATTTACTTAATAAGTGGTTAGCTTGTCCTATTGGAAAATGTCCTACAGTTTAATATTTAAGGAATGAGACACAGCTATCTCTGAACTTATACTAACCAAATATCGTAGTCGCTTAAGACTTACTTGTTTGATGAATCAGAGCCTTAGTTTTTTATTCCCATACGAAGAGAAATCTATTAATGACAGTATATGTATATTTTTTTTTCGGTTGGCTCTATAGACCTTGTAGATCTTTAGCCACCTGATCAGCCTTCTCCTACTCAGCCTATCTTGGGCTACTGCTTTCCAGTTTGCGGCATGAAGCTCAGCCGTAACTTTGTTTATCCTATGTATTCATCTTGTTTTTGGCTTGCCACGAGGTCTCTTGCCTACTACTCTGGGATTCATTGTTGTGTAAAGACGTCCTGATGGATTGCTACGAGCTACATGCCCCGCCCATCGTAACCTCCTTGCCTTCATGTCATGAGATATTGACTGACCCGTTTCTTTCAGTAGTTCTTTATTATTCCTTCTCCTTCATGTGTCAAGCTTCTGGTCCCATATAGATCCTGTTATCTTCTGGAGAACTTTTATTTCGAATCTCTCAATTCTGGTTTCTAGTGTGCCGGTTAGAACCCAGGTCATTTTTAGGTTTCTGGAGATTTTCCTGGATTTCGGTACTCTTGAAAGAGAGAAGAAAGATCTGCTCACACTTGTTATTAGCGGGTCTATCTCTTTTAGTTGATCATTTATTGAGGTTATTTATGATGGATGTTTCGGCTAACTATCATGTATTTTGTTTTATCTACATTGACCTGTTGTCCGATTTGCTCTACTTCTTTTAATTGAGTCCGAGCAAGTCTCTCAATATCCTCTTGATTGCTTCCGAGGGCAGCTATATCATCCGCATATGCTAGGATTTTGTGTTTTATTCCGACGTGCGCCCCTCCATCTTCGTGTGATGTTCTTATTACTTTCTCTAGGGCTAAGTTGAACAGCATCGGCGAGAGTCCATCTCCTTGCCTCAAACCCGTTCGAACTTCAAAGTATATATATATATATATATATATATATATATATATATATATATATATATTTAAAAGCCTTACCTAGATATTTTTTTAATTTATTTAGAAAGCAATATTTTAATTTTTAAATCTAAACACGTGATAAGTATCACGTAAGAGGAATCCCACAAGAAACATGATTAATCTCAAAAAATGGGATATTTTGGGGCATTAAAACGCGGTATCCGATAGTTACTTCGTCCTTTTATTCTTCATCTTTTCATTTTTTTTCTTTTATGATTTTAATTAAAGTGTGAATTAGAATGTCAATGTACTCTCACAACACTATTATAAATGGCCTTGATGTTAACAGATTGTAATATCTACCAATAAATATTTAAAAAAATAAAAAATAAAGTAGGTAAAAGAATTCAAGGACCGAAATTGGCACACAACACTTCTCCATGAAATTCCCTTATTAAAGTCCATACAGTTAAATCGCTCTTGAGAGTCAGAACACATACTAGTGTATAGTTTAGATAAACTATTTGATATAAGGTATGTAATCCGACAAACAATTTACTTGGTACAATACATAATAGAATTTTCATAATGTTATGATAGCGATAGAATATAATCAACAAATACTTAATTGAACTATAAACTCTCGTATATGACGGTTATCCAGAGCTTAGCGTTGAGGAGTTGAGGGGGGGGGGAGGGAGCTAGAGTGAAGGGTTATATAGCTCTCATATAAATGAAGAGGTCCCCCCGGCGAGGCCCTCAGGGACGACCACTCCTTCTGGTCCACTGGCTCCGGCCTTGTCTTACTCAACCTTGGTTATGAATAATGTATCTCTGCAAGTTGCCACATTGCACATGGCACACCTCTATGCTTTTTTAATTAAAATTATCGACCCATTCGTAAGTTTAAAGATTAGCAATGAAACAATAAAAAGCAACCGATTTACAATAATTTGATTTACTGATAGTGAAATTGATTCGGGAGAATGAAAACAATATAATATCAAATGGTTTTTATTTATTTATTTTTTTATTTGAATAAGATTTGACTATAATATAATCGTCAGTTCAATTTAATGATAAGCTTTTTGCCATTTACTATCCACATTTTTCACAACTTTCCTTGTTATTTCAATTACCAAATTAGTAAAGGGTCTCTAAAACGATAGAAATAAACAGTTTCATCAAGGAAGCTAACCCTTCCAGGACTTAGTTAAGATTTAAAACCCGCATCCGAACCAGCGCGATAACTGAAATACGAGTATGCCATACGCAGTAGAACAACAGCGCTCAAAATAAAATAATGGCCATAAAAATGAAAAGAAGCCGTGGAGCAGTTCAAGCCACAGTAAACGCAGAAAATAAGTTGTCCTTACGCTACTCATAAGAGTACATGTTAGGCTTACACAGCTTCACTTAATTACTTATGAAAATTCGTCCGTATGTCAGAAGTATAAAGAAAGATCTGCTCACACTTGTTATTAGCGGGTCTATCTCTGTTAGTTGATCATTTATTGAGGTTATTGTGGAGCCGAGGTATTTGAATCTGTCTACTTTCGGGAATGACTTAGGGTCCACGCAGATTTAAGGACCCTTTATGAGCGCATACCTTTGAGAGTTGTACTTCTTAGAAAAGCTTTGGAAAAAGAGAAAAAGCTCTTGATGAATGTCATTTATTTGTTCTCTGCAAAAGGAATTTTTGAAAATATATGAAATCGTATATTTTTTCTCTTTTCTTCGTTTGTGTGTTGGCTTAATTATTTGATTTTTTTATATAAACCTTATTTTTATATACAACCAAGAGATAGAACTATAAACATATTTTATCACTACGGTCCTACAAGAACCAGGGCCACTATTGTTATTATTCTCCAATTTTCTGTATCTCGGGCAAACATTCTCCATCTCCGCATTTGCATCCTTTTCAGGATGTCCTCTACCTTGTCCAGACATCTTAGACGGGGTTTTCCTCTGCTACAATTTTCACCTGGTCAGTCATCTAGCAGGCTTTTCGGAATGGGCAAACATATCACATGGATTTGGTTACTTCTTACAATTGAGATAAAATCCGGCCTTGCATAAATCTCGCGCAGCTCTAAATTTGTTGCGAATAGTCCACTGCCCACCCTCACACACCGGAAAATAATGATTTAATATTATTTATAATTAGTTTATTATTATTTTAATAGTTTGTCTGAATCTTGGCATTATAATTAATATTTTTAAAATTTGGAAATTTTTATCTTAAAATTATGGTTAGGATATTATTATATCTTATTATATTATATTTCTTCATATTTAAGCAAACACTAAATTAAAGTTAGTGGTTCACTTTTGAAACAAACAACATTCGACTATTCCGATATTCCACTTCGGCAGCAATAAGCGCACTAACCTTAATTGCTACAAATTTCTTTTGTACCAATTTGATTTTTCTGCCGAAAATTTTCTCATCGGAACCTAAATGCGTTTATATTCTTAGATTACGTTTCGGCGGAACGAAGTTTCCGAGGATCTCGTTCCGTTCCGAACCGTTCTAGTGGTGAAATTCATTCCACGAACCGTTCCGCCCGGAACGGTCCATCCAAAATTTCAATGCACCAAACAAATGTGTTTTTTTGTCTTTTATGTCTTTGGATAATGGCGTAATTTTGAATTATTGGTGTGTTGGACATTTATTGACATCTGTCTATCTGTCTTCGTTTAGCTTTACCAGATAAGAATGAGGAAGAAAATGATTTACAATTTTTAAAAGAATTTTGGATTGGGCGGGTTATATTCCGTTTGTACGAAACCTCTTTGTGGAAGCCCAAATTTCTGCTCCGAATTTAAACCTAGAGCTTAATATCGTGGTGTAGATTAACTGTCTATTAGTCCAGAAGGTGTGGCAATTGATTGGGTCATCTGGTTATTTCTTGTTTTGTAGTGATGGGGAGATATTGGTCCATGTATAAGTAATTCGCAATTTCGTACATAATTTTTAGAAGAAATTGTGTCGTATATTATTATGGGGAGAAAGAGAGGTAAAGTTTCTACTGGTGATTACTGTCGGAGTTTTTTTTTCTGGAATTTAATTTATTTAGCCATTTGCTAAACCACTTTTAGAGGATTTTTGTGAAAAGAAAGAATTCTAGTTTAGTCAGCGAAGCTGTAGGGAGTACTAGGATGCTGGAGAATATCAGATGGGTAGAGAGCAAAGAGGAAAGTACTAAAGACTGCCTTGTGGTTAGTGTTGCTCAAAATCGATCTTGACAGGGCTGGTAAAACAAGTCGATTTTTTAAGTAAAAATTAAGGCAAAATATCTACTAATACTCGACAATCTTAGTTACTATATGTTAATGATTTGTATAACAAATATACTTTTGCATTTAACTTCTCTAATTTTTCACTCGGGTTCCTCCTATTTAAAAAATTACAGTAATATGTATATAGAAATAAGCTAATAAGTAACTGCAAGACTGTTGCGAGACTCTTTTGAAAGACCAAGACCATGACCAAGACTGAGTTTGCAAAACCAAGACTCGTCTCGGTCTCGCATTTGGGAAATTCTACTTGTGGTAGACCCGCAAGATAAAAAAAAGAAGAAGAAATAAAGGAATCAATAGTTTTTATTTTGATGCCTTGCGTGGTTTAAGAAACTTCTGTAACTATTGAACCCATCTTCTGGGAAATTAGTTTGACTATCATTTATGAGTCACAGTATACTTCGCTCTTGTCCATGCTTCCTTTAGTTCGATGGCCTGACCATTGAGTATTGAGTGTCTGCGAGGGGGAGAAGAGAGGGAGAACAATCTCATTTTTCAGGTCTGTTAGGATCCGAAGGGTCTCTGGAGGCCTCAGGAAAAATAAAAGCGGGAAATATATATATCGCATCATCCCTGTGTTTTCTACCCCCTAGTTGAATACCGTTCGTTCGTGAGAAAAATTACATTCTGCTCAATGCTTTTACGATTTCTAACCCAGAATGAACAGTTAGTGGTTATCTTAGTTTACTTAATCTTGATGTTCAAAGGAGTAAATTAAGGTTAGACTATATCCGTTAAATATCTAATTATATTTTATTTTTACAATACTTCCTGTTATCTATTTGTTTCACTAATCCACAGATAATTAAATTAATTCATTTGCATACATATACAATCTATTATTTATATGAATAATAATAATTAAATTATGCTGGAAAAACCCAGAAAATATGATTCTTATTATTCAATGAAAGTTTTACTTAAAAACAATGGGTAAACAAAACAGTTATATCAAATTTACGCATAATTCATATGGAGAAATTTGGAAAAGCTCGATTGTTCCTAAAAATCGTGAAAAAAAAAATGATCATGAAATTCACCTATCAGCATTTAAAAAATAATTTCTCAAGAAAAAATGTTCAAAAAATTAATTTTTAATATATGTTATTCATACAACTGATAAATTCAAAATGTCTGGAGATTAAAAGTGGAATTGACTTAAATAGTTGTGACTAAAATCATATTAAAAGTTTCGAATATCAGGTTTTTATAAAATTTCAAACGGTTATAGAAAAAACCGGCTGTGATAAAATAAAGTTTTAAAATTACCTCATATAAATCGTTAAATAACATAAAACAGTATTAAAAGTGGAATAAGTAATTTTATAATTTTCATATATCATCTGAAAACATGTTTAAGATATTGTTGAATTAATTAGATACACTTGGCTTTGAACTCATCGTGAGTATTACACAGGCAGGTTTAATCATAATTGGATGCGGGTAAAATCGTAGTACATAGCGCATGATTAATCAACTCCTACAGTTGATATTATTTATGCAAGATAATCATCCGTGATAGTATTTTTGGATAAGAACCCTCCGAAACCATACAGCACTGTAGTAGCCAATCTCATAGATTGATCAAGTTTCCCTTATGATTGAAGGGCTCTGCAAGAAGACCTTCAAAATCATCTTTCATAAGGTTTCATTTAATGGAGAAAAATTGTGGTGGAATGGCGATTCATCTAGATCAATTTTTGCGTTTAATAAAAGGGATTTCTTTGTTGATTGTTCGACGACAATTAATCTTTATTACACTAGTTAAGGGAGGGAGAGGGTCGAGGATTTTTGTTAATTTGCTTGAGCGTTAGTAGCAATCAGTTTTTATTAAATTGAAAATAAATGTTATTAAAAACTTTCTTGTTCCACTTATAATGAATGTAGAATCAAAGTTTACTCCTTAAAAACAAAATGTGATGTTATAACAGAAGAGGGAATACATTTTTACCGTTGTATTTTAATTTTAAAAAATCAGTATTTTGAAAAATTAAAATATAATATGTGAGAAGGAGTTAGTCGAGGGTGCGGTCAAATAAATAAAAAAAATTAAAATATAATAATTATTTTAATTTTACCCACAATATATTTTAATTTTTTTTATTTATTTGACCGCACCCTCGACTAACTCCTTCTCATATTATATCAACGGTCAACCATCTCTACATCATTTCAAAAAATAATATGAATTAATTAAGGAGCATAATGCATGCATACAAAAACGTTGTTACTTGATATTCTAGTAAGCAGAAAATTCAAGATGGCTCTAGATGTAAAAAAAAAAATAGAACCGAAAATTATTACCCTTAATTAAGTTTGATTCAATACATAATCAGGTACATACCGCCGGTTTATTGCAAAAAGTCACATACATTTTTGATGGAGCTGAACTATTATAAATGTCTTTGTAAATTTCTAGTTTACTCAGTGAGAAAAAAAAGCTTAGTGAGTACACTAAAATGGCAAAAATCGTTTTGTATATTGCATAGTTACAACAATCACACAATTTTCTAATTTCACTTAGTAAAGCGCTCTCGACAAACTCCAATGGCTTTAGCAGCAGTGACGCGGTTGAGAGAGTAGCGCAGGGATCTCTTGAAGTCCCGTTTTTCTTTCTATAGTTGGAGGTAGAAGCCTGGCTTGGGGTTCCCTCTCTGATTGTATATATTGTAAATAGATATGACTATGTTTTTAATTTATTTATCTTTAGGTTGTTTTATTTTTTTATTGTACATAGTTTTTGATTATTATTTTACTTTTGGTAATTTTATATTTTCTGTATATATGGTATGAATGTGTTATATCACATATCACTATAATTATTGTCCACGTGTTATATTTCTAAATAAATAAAAAAAAAAAAAAATAAAAAAATAATTACTTTTTGTCACTTGGAAAATAATTAGGTATAGGGAAGTAAAAATACATTCATACTATGTAATAATATACTATAATACTATACAAAACAGGCAAACTAATAATAAATATATACAAATATACATACAAAACAAAAATAAAATAAGCTTGAAGATAAATAAAAATAATTAGGTATTTTTTTTGATATAGGATTATATACACTATCTTAGAGCATGAAGGTTATGTCACTTAATGACTTCTTGCAACAAACAAAAATGTAATTAAATTAAATTGGTAATTTTATTTATAATATTATTTTATTTAATTCGCTATTATTCTTCTTTTCTTTTCTTCCATAGATATTTCTAAATATGACATCATTCTCACATTACTAACACGAATTAGCTTTGAAAAAAAAAATATCTTTCTTAGCAGTTGTCAATTCTAAGAAGAAAAACGTTGCAAATTATTTCACAATGGTTTATTATTTCCCAACAATCATACATACAAAGTAACATTACCTTTCTAGTGACAAATTAAAATAAATAAATCGTTAATTCCAATTATTTGCCTAATAATTTTTTTTTTATTATTAATAAGTTGCTAAAAAAATAGCATTACATCAGTAACACATTGAAAAATCAAATTCCAAAACAAATAATTTGCAGTAGAACATAAAAAAAATCTAGAAACCATATATTTGCTCCAAATTGTCCAATTTTAAAGATTTTTTTTAGAAACTTTTAAGTGACCATTTAAGTGCGGCGTAAGGCAGACCAAGGACCAAAGACGGACAAAAATTTTGTATTCGTTTTAAGAATTATACATATCCTGAAATGTAAAACATCAAATTTTGAGAGAGGGTTAAGTTTTTGATTTTTTTTTTTCAATTACAATGATTCATTATTGAAAATAATAAACCAAAAAATTTTCAAAATCGCCATATCTTCACTAATAGTACTCTGATTTCGATGAAACTTTCTTCATTTTTTAAGAAATTTAAATACCTTTGAAACATATTATCACAATATCACAAAAAAATCATATACTTTTTCTGTTATTCAGGATCTAATTTTACCACCCCTATTAACTTTCTTTTCAGCCTTTTTTCGTTGAAGTATGTTATATAAATAAATTTAAAGGGCATCGAGAAAAAGACTTTAGCCAAGCTTCATTGAAATCGGTTCATTTGTTTAGGCGCTACAGTCTGGAGCAACGCAGGTTTTTCGGCCGCCATTTTGAAAGGAAAAGGCAGATAGGAATTTCGATGATGGAGGATTATTCTCGGGAAACTTCTGACTTTAAATTCAAATTTGAGAAAAAATTGTCAAGTAGTTTCGGAGAAAATGCATGGACGGCGGACGGACAAAGAAATGTTTATTCGTTTTTCTAATTCCACGTATTCTGAAACATAAAACCTCAAATTTTGAGAGGGAGTTAAATTTTTGTTCGATTACAATGGTTCATTATTGAGAATAATAAACCAAAAACCAAATGGAACATGCTCAGTAATGTTTTATTATATCTACTAATGTGCATTTTATATTATATGAATATTGTAAATAACTAAATATTTAATATTTGTATTAGGTATACGAGCATATGCTTTAGCGAAAAGTTTTTTTCACATAGTTCAATAAAAGAAGAATAATTCTTAGAGAATACTAAAGCGAGGTCGGGAATCCTTTTGTGATCTTAAGATGCTGGAGGGTAAAAGGTTAAGAATACATTTGTCTAATATATTACCAAAAAGACCACCAAGACTACCCTTCTTCCTTCTAAAGAGGGATATATATCAATACTAATAAAATATTAACTGGAACAAAAGGAACTAAAACGGGACAAAACAATGGTCCCTTAAGAAGGGAATCGCTAGAGTCTCCTCCCTCCATTTTGTTCTCATCCCTTTATATCCCCCTGAGCCTTCAGTCGACGAGGAAGAAGCTTTCGCCCTTAAAACGTTTCCATTGTCTCTCCTTATTTCTTTATTTAAAAACAGACCAATCTCGATATTGTATACACTAGGGTAGCAATAAAGCGCCCTCGGTATCTGGCACAATTTTCAGGATAAAGTAAAGTAAATTGGAACGTATAAAACAATTTAAAAGATGATATTAAAATTGTAATCACTATGGTAACCTTGAAGTTAATCTAGTACAAACCCAATTGGTTATCGTGTTCTCATACCTATGATAAACGCATTTTAAAATTATAAGTACTTTGAATTACTGATATATAAAAGGATCTTACGCCCTGACTGTAGGTGCGCCACTAAATTCACTCATCTTACTGAAGGCACATTGAGGCTCATACATTTCCAAAATAATTTAGTAAAAAGAATGCCTCATTCAACATCTTAGAAGAAATTGAAGGTAGATCAGCTCCAATTAGAAGCCACAAAATGTAACACAGTTACAGAAAAAGAAATTAAAAACACCCAACTGTAAAAAATCACATTTTTATAGTTATTGTAATTTGAGGTTATAAAAACAAAAAGAAAAACTTTATATCATAAGATTAAGTAACAATTATTAGGACAAAAGGGTAAAAATAAAATAAATAAAAATTGTATGATAATTTAGAGAGAAGCCGATTTTTTTCCTCCACAAAAAAATGTTGTTATACAATACAAATTCTTTGCATACATACATAAAAATATTTTATCATGTTATAGAATATTAGGGTTTCTAATAGCTTTTATTCTCTTGCGGCTAAAGATTAGGTAGATCATTGTTCATGAAATGTGAATTCTTACAGATGTATATATTTCTTGCGGGAGCACGGATAGCCAGAAGAGAGTCACCCAACGTTTATGCGGAACATGTAGTAGGAGATACACATGCCTCCGTAGCCGCATCATTTAGTGCCAATCTGCAAGTGTCTCCCACCGACTCACTCAGATTCAAAGAAGGGGACAAATCGGTCTATAGACGATTAAGTGTAGTTTCTTATTTGTTGAAAGACAGAGATCATAGACTCAATGTACAATAAAAACTTTTTAGGCAGACATAAAGTGGGCATATTAAACAGACACAATATCTAAATTTAAAAAGAGAAAAATAGTTTAGGATGTTTTATGGATGGTTGAATTATTTATTGCGGATTTTAAAAAATCAATGAACTACAATTTTATTATTGCTTCGTTTCAATCCAGTACATCAATTACTTATAATTATTCTCATATTTTATTAATAATTTTGAGTATTCCTTAATCAATCCGAACAACGTTACTATTCTAATTCTAATAAACAGGCAAAAGTTCAATTAATTTAATTTTTAATTGGAGAAACATTCCTGATGATGATTTTTAATTATTGTATTATTTTTATATTTTGTTAGTTTTATATTGTTTGTCGTTGGAATTTAAGGTGAAGTATTTAGCGCTTCATACTTTCCCAGTGCTCCGGATTCCAATTTCTGCGATCGTTTAGTTTATTTACCCTCTCTTTGGAAAATCATCCCTTTGGAAAATATCCTGATGTAATTCTTAATTCTTGGGATTTTTAATTCCCATTTCGGAAACAGTTCTTCATTGTGGAAATTGTTCAATACTTCGATTAATTACTTGATGCTAAATTGTGCCTATTCAATAGCATTGGATATCGAAGCTACAATACTGCAGCGTACCCTTGAGATTAGTAGGCAGATGACGTAGCTTCCATTAAGAGGAATAAGGACAGGTAGGTTTGTGAATTTCCGATCCTCTGCCTCTCCAGGTCGTGAGGAAGATGGATGACAGAAGATCCTGCTACGGCCCTCTGTTCCCATCCTCTTGACAACACATTCCCTCCCCTCTCGTTTTATCTATCACCTTCTCCCACTCTCTTTTTAGTATTCCCATATGTCATTAGTTATAGTTATTTTTAAAGTTTATGTCCATTACCTTTTTGGATCATTAAATACATGATCAATTAAATCACGTTAATTTGAAAGGAATAACTCCTTATTTTTCGTAACTTACCAAGGGAATAACTCCTGCACTTTCGTAACAAACCACCATCTCCAGATGAATATCATTTTTCGTTTGTCTGAAAGTAGTTAGTAGGAGGTTACAGGAGCACAAACTGTAACGAAAAGAGCAAGATGTAAATCTCTATTTTGTATCGGGATAGTAGGAGATTAAAGGAGCTCAACACATATGTGGTTGAATGAGCAGCTATATAATTAGTGCTAATTATAGAGCTAAAAGGAGAGCTTCTGTAATCTCCTACTCTCCTAATATGAAAATAAAACAAAATACAAAAGCCACTAAAAACTTTTTTTATAGAATGGAGAGATTATATTATGAGACTCTTTAAGGTTATAAACATATGTTTATCCACCCATCCATTAAATATGCTCCACTTCTTATTTTACACAAGTACAATAAAGTAGCTTTTACACAAGTTGTTTACACTCTTTTTTAAAAACATCAAAATCATTTTAAAAATTTACATTTAGGTAGGTAGGCTTCCATCATTAGGATCATCATTTGTTTTCCGTTAAATAATATTAATTTTCAAATGTTATTATTTATAATAACTAGTGTTCTTACTTCTGTCTTTACTTTTTTAATATCTTTTACGTCTTTGTACGTTAGATACTAATTTTTTACTAATATTTTAATCATTCCAATGATTTATTATAAGTACGAATTCACAAGGTTATTTCTGAAAATTCATTTTCACCCTAAAACAACATGATTCCCTTTTTCCCCTTTAGTCTATTATCAATTTTTTTTCATAGTTTATATTGTGCCTTTATTTATTACTACAGGGAATAAGGGACAGTTTAATTATTTAAAATATAAGAAATTACAGATATTTTAAAGAAAGAAACTCGGACATTTATGCCCTGTAAGGTGACATCAATACAGATAAGATCTAGCTGACATTAAAGACAATTTAATTGTACATAGATTTGCCGAGTTTAATCAAGAAATATGTAGAAAGGTGTAATAAAATACATGATATATATAGTGGCACTTCCAGTAAGCCAATTTTAAGTAAAAAGTGCTGTAACATCCTAACATTTAAATATGTAATTTTAGTATCTAGCGGCCTTTACCATTTGAGCTAGGCTGTTAAACGTACACACATACAGACCATTTTGTGGGACTTGGTTATTTGGTCTCAGGGGACCTCAAAACGTGTTGAAAATTAAAATTTCTAAGTTTTCACGAACGCAATACTTTCCTTTACTATATGTTACAAATAGTTTAAGTAAAAACCGATGATAAGTATGTTAAAAGTAAGTAATTGTTAATGTTTATCGAATGAACAATTTTTTATTTTACAAATTAATTTGAGAAATGCTATAAGTATATTTATGCGCCATTTACTTACAATCTCTTTTTCTGAATTTCTCTTTATTCTTGATAGCTCCACATTGATGCCCGTGGAATTCTGGATATTAATTTTACGATTAAGGACAATGAATAAACAATTTCAAACAGTTTGATTAGCAGCCATGGTTTCTACTTGCATTCCTTTTTCCATCAATGCTTTTGAATGTGTACTGTATGTGCCGATCGGGAATCACTCGTAATCTGCGATCTCCAATCAGCCATCCGTGCCCTCTAGAAGACTGCAGCTCCCTCCCGAGGGACCGTACTCCAACAGCTCTGCGATAGGCTATTTACATTCATGATTCACCGAGGACTGATCCTTTTCATCCGGCAGCCTGTGACAAAGTAAACAGGCCATGATGAAATGTTTAATTAAAAGTCCCTTTGGAGTAGGGAGCAGTGATTGGCCTACCTATATGCTTTTGAACCCCCGTAGCCCCTTCAACCGTCTGTTTTGAAAATCTCATTATCCTTTTTGAAAAAATACGGTGAGATTCAATCTGCCACCCTGACTATTTGACATTTCATACTCTTTTGTTCCCTCCTCGGACCTTTGACTTTGCCGAGTGTAACTGGACCTCTGTATCAGCCTCCCTGTATCCTTTATCAACTGTCTTCAGCACACTTCGGCCTCTTTTGATTTTCATCGCATGAAAATTATTTTTTCCCTAAGCAATAACTTTTTCACAGTTAAAGGGGTAAACGGTTAGGAGTAATTAGGCTTATCTTTTTTCTGCTATATTTAACTTAAATATTTTGTTTTTTCACTTACTCCATGCTTCGCCATTTCAAACATTGGGTGGTGTTGTTCAAGAAGTACATCTAAACGTATTTCAACAACAGGGACAAGCTTACAATTCATTCCTCGCCCAAGTAGGTTTCCAACCGGCGCACAGTGAGCTGCCTATACTATCTAGCGGAACGAAAATCCATATTATTAAATTAATTTATATTTTCGTTAGACATTATTTTTAATTAGTTAGAAAAATGTCGTTGTAATAAGAAATGTTTTTTGCGGAAAGTTAAAAGAAGAATTGACTACAAATATTATTATTTCTGATAACCCATAACCTGGAAAAAAAAATGTATTGTTTATTACTTACTTTGATTCGATAAACAGGGATATATTGCTCCAAGTTCTAAGGGAATACGGAGTAGACCAAACAACAATAAGCTTGATTAAATTGACACTGACCAACACCATTTAAAAAATAAAATTCCAGGGACTAATAAGTGAACCATTCAAAATAAACACGGAGCTTAGGCAAGGCGACGTCCTGTCACCGATACTTTTTAATATAGTGTTAGACAAAATGATGACAATATTCTGGCGAAAGAACGAGGCAGATGCAGTAATAGGAACAAAGAAGGACAATGTGAAAATAAAGTGCCTGGACTTAGCAGATAATCTAGCCCTACTAGCAGAGACAGAAGAGGAAACCAGAAAACAGGTAAACACCCTGAATGAAACATCCGAGAAAACGGGGCTATATATCTCTTATGAAAAAACAGAAATTATGACAACAGATACCAACTTCACCAAGAAAATATTCGACACAAAATAGGGGAAAATAAAAGTGACCAAAAAGTTTAAATACCTAGGGGAGATAATATGTAGTAACCGAACGGATAAGGCATCAATCGAAGGAAGAATAACCAAACTGGGAAGACTGGACTTCGCCACAAGGAATGTTTACAACAAGAAAAATTGGTCCTCAAATACAAAAATAAAGAATTACTGCACAGTAACAAGATCTGTAATATTATATGGTATGGAAACAGTCAGCTTTCCGAGCCTAGAGACAATCCTGAAGATTGAGAGAAAGATTCTGAGGAGGATTCACGTACCCAAGATTACGCAAGAGAGATACAGGCTAAAATCCAATAAATATACAGAAATTCGGAAGATTTGGTAACAGTCGTTAGGACCAGAAGACTGAGGTTCTACGGGCACATGGTCAGAATGAATAGTGAAAGACTGAACAAAAA